ATGGAGTTCCGGTGAGGATAGATTGCCTGTAAACACATGCAACAATCGTGGGATGGATTGCACAGGAGCCATGGAGTATGCTTATAATATATAATAGTTAGCGAGATCCAGTGAACTTCATTTGGTCTCTGTCAGCAGTGATCCACCCAGTGTTAATTCTGAAGATCACTCAAGGTTCATCTCCTACCGAGTCCAGTAGAGGCAAAACATTCTAGGGAGGGGCAATCATTGATTGCTGATGGAACCAAGTGAAAATGAGACACAACACAGAAATCTGCTTTTAAATATGCCTGATGCACTGACAAGTTACCGTCTTGTGTTGTTAGCAGGATATCATGTCACTATTGCAAGATGCAGACACCGTAGTTGCTGAACAATTTAAAGTTTTCTTTCATCCATCAATTGAAAGATGAATCAATTATCTGACAGGAATGATGCAAAGATTTAGTACTGAAATATCAATTTGAAATTCTTTTGTTTGTTTTGAAGGGCAACCTTAGGGTCCCTGAACTCTACGCAATTTAAAACCCACAAAAGCCTGTTGAACACCTCTGAGTGATGGCAAACCAATCTGGAATATCACCTTCTCAAAATAAATCCATAGGGTATGTCAGGCAAGATCTCGTTAGAAATCACACTGGATGAAATTTGTTATTTTTCAAGCTACCTCTGCAACTTCCTTCAACCCTACCAACCCAGCCACTCCCTTCGCTCAGTAAGTGAAGTCCTGTAGCTCAGTGGTTAGAGCACTCGCTTTGCAAGTGAGAGACCTAAGATCAATTCCAGACAGGGCGAAACCTTGGGCAAGTTTCCTTACTCCACACGCCTAATAATAATCCATCCAAAAAAAAAAAACCAAACAATAATAAATTGGTCATTTTCAATCTACGACTGTTTGTGGGACATTGCTGTGCGCAATTGGCTGCCGCGTTCGCCCACAAATATAGTCAATTCACTTTACAGTGTGTTCTGTGAAGCGCTTTGGGACGTCCTCCTGACATGAAAAGCGCTATATCAAATGCAAGGATTATTATTATTATCATCATCACGCCTGGGCTATCAAGCCATTCTGCCTCCACCCTCCAGGACTCTATCCAAAGTCCCTCCGACTCGCTCACTCCCCTCTTTCTTAGCCCATCTCAAAATGTTCCTCATTGAATACACATTCGATCATCCTTTCCCCTGCTCACCCTCCTTGCCTCCCCGCCCCCAGCTCGGGTGCCCAAACAGCACCGTGAATGCACTTTGGGATGTCCTCCCAACATGAAAGGTGCTAGATAAATGTAAATTGTATTGTTGTTTCATACAGGGTACATCTCTTTAAAAGAACCAGGGTACTAAAGCCATCTCTAATACTAACTATAGAACCACCTAATAATAATAATCCTTGCATTTGGTAGTGCTTTTCATGTCTTCTAGACATTCTCAAAGTGCTTCATAGAATATATACTATGAAGTGAATTGACTATATTTGTGGGCGGAATGTGTCAGCCAATTGCACACAGAGTCCCACAAACAGCCGTAGATTGAAGTGATCAAATTATTTTTTTTTAAAGAATTTTTATCCCTGGAAAGAGATCCACCGATCAACCAGATTCCTCCTTATTGCAAGGTAAACAGAAGCATGTGGAGTAACAAAACTTGCCCAACATTTCGCCCTGCCGGGAATAGAATTCAGATCTCTTGCTTGCGAGGCGAGTGCTCTTACCACTGAGCTACAGGGTAATATCACAAAAACTGAAGTCAAATGTATTTTAATTTTACATATTTTTCACCAACAATAATAATAACAATGAGGCGTATCCAATAAAAACAACTTGCATTTATGTAGCGTCCTTCTCACAGGCTACCGTCTCGGACCATTTAGCCCATGGTACCATTCAGTCCAGTCTGTAACTTGTTAAAAAGTAACACATCTGACAAATTTTCACGTTTCTCACTAGTGCAGCTTTCCTTAGTTTTGACATAGCATTGGGGGCTATCTTGAGCCTACTACAGATTGATGGGTAGATCACAAGGACATTCTAAAAGCAATAACTTGTATTTATACAGGGTTAATCCAAAGTCCTTACTCACAGGACTATGAGATGTTCAAATTGTATGTAGATGTTTACACGTATCAACTCGGTGACAAAAACTTTCACTAACGTGATGGAAGTCACTTCCTGTAATAGCTTACACACTCTCAACGAATATTGTCTTAAAAAAGAACATAATTAATAATTAAAAATATGAGTAAGGACGTCTAATTCACCTTGTACAGTACCTTTCACGAGGCTGCACAACAACAACAAAATTGCATTTATAGAGCGCCTTTCATGTTGGGAAGACGTCCCAAAGCCCTGAACAGTCAGGTGTCGGGGCCCGAGCATAGGGTAGAGGTGGTGTTGGGGTGAGAGAAGGCAGAGAGGTGGGAGGGAGACCAAAGGCACGGTCGAAGAGAAGGGTCTTGAGACCAACCTTGAGGAGGCAAGGGAGGAAGCGAGGCGAAGGGACCGTAGGATGGAGTTCCAGACTGTGGAGGCAGAGAGGCTGAAAGCCCGGCCACCTATGGTAGGGCGGGTCGGGTGGGAGACATGGAGCCGACCGGAGCCCGCTGAACGGAGGGAGCGGGCAGTTTGGCAGGGAGTCACAGGTCAGAGAGGTAGGAGGGGGCAAGGCCATGAATGGCCTTGAAAGTGAGGACGAGGATCTTGAACTCGATCCTCTGGGGAATGGGGAGCCAGTGGAATCGGGCGAGGGTGGGAGTGATGGGGTCTCGGAGCCTGGTGCATGAGAGTACACGAGCTGCACAGTTTTGGATGATCTGCAGCTTGTGAAGAGTTGGGAAGGCCGACAAGGAGGGTGTTTCCGTAATCAAGCCTTGAAGTGATGAATGCGAATGCAAAGAAATTTACCCAATGTCTGCAGATGATGTCACCAAGGGGGAGCATGCAGAGGGTGAAGAGGAGGAGACCGAGGACAGAGCCCTGAGGAACATCGCACGAGACGCCGCTGGAGGAGAAGCCGTTTACTGCGATGAAGTGGAGTCAGTGTGAAAGGTAGGATTTGAACCAGTCAAGGACAGAACCTTGAAAGTTGAGGTGGGAGGAGAGGCGGTGGAGGAGGATTGAGTGGTCCACGGTGTCAAAGGCAGCGGAGAGGTCGAGGAGAATGAGGAGACAGAGGGAGCCCTGGTCACGCATGGTCAGGATGTCATTTGTGACCTTGACCAGAGCAGTTTTGGTGCTGTGGGCAGCACGGAAACCCGATTGGAGGGGTTCATGGAAGGAGTGAGAGGAGAGGAAAGAACGAAGCTGGGAGGCAACAGCTCTCTCAAGGACCTTGGATATGAAAGGGAGGTTTGAGATGGGCCGGTAGCTAGATAGCTGTGATGGGTCGAGGGAAGGTTTCTACAAGGTAAAGATGGAGACAGACACTGGCTGTAGTCGCAGTTGAAGAGGCAGGCTTTTAAGCGGGGTTTAAAATCAGAGAGTAAGTGAGACAGAGGGAGGAACATACATGTACATTCTACGTATGCACAAATCAGGCAGACATGTGACAGAAAATTTCTGGGCTCTGTCTTGTCAACAAAACACAAAACATTCAATATTATTGTACAGAATATAATTTTCCAACTGGGTGTGTAAAAAAAACAGTGGCACAATTTCTGCTGGAGCTTTTAAATTTTAATTACAAAAGGACTCTTTCTGACAAAGGTAAATTTTCTTTGAGAAAATCAAGTTAATCTTAATGCAGCACTGATCAAAAATTGTAGAAGCGAGAATAAAATGTTCAAATAACTTATAAATGTTACAAATATTGTAATGAACACTCATGTCAAAAACATTTACAGCTAATTTGATCTTAAGTGTGTTGTTTGCACCACTATCAACCAAGGCTTGATTCGGGGCACTGCTGAAGGCTCAGGAAATGAGAGGACCAACGACATATTTTAAACATGGTGTGAAATCTCCCAAGGACAGTTTCTCGGATCTACGCACTTAATTACAGGAAGAAACTGCTACTAAATTTTAAACTGGGCAAGATAACTATTAATCTGAATGCTAAGAATAAAATTTAGGAATCATTAATTCTTTTGATTCAAAATATTTACAAGTAGGCATTTTCTTCTACAATTTTCCACTAAAACGTTTTTGATATCTGCTTCATGGAAAATGTTCTTTTAAGTACAGGCATAAGTGTTAAGAGCATCATAATCTGCTAAAATACTGTGCTCCCTTGTTGAGCTGCTGTTATTGGGGCCCAGATTCCATTCTGAATCCAACATTAAGTTGCATTATACAGACAAACCAAGGCGCTGAAACACTCCAAAATCCCAAGGCATTGAATCCCAAATCATGCTGCTGTTAACTTTGGTTAATTCTCCAAATCCACAACTCTGGCTACCACTTAGACGAGGGAGGCAATGGTGGGAATCGATCAGTAAACTGATTATCATTTAACACAAATATTTTGCAATGCATGCAAAATGTTGATGCTACTCTTTCACTTTATCAACTCCAGATTCACCAGATTTGATACGTGATACAAAAGAGCACGTGTATACAGTACAATCTATACTTGCTACATTATAAAGTAAGATCAATGTAGGTTGTACAAAAAATTATCTGAACTTCCCTTATTATAAGAAGCCTAGATAACAGCAATAGTAGTGAGTGGTATAAAACATGACACATTTCAAGCTGTTCTAAAACCATGGAATGCTTACAAATCTGGTATAAAACTGTTCCAAATAAATTGGCTAGATTTCCAAGAATAACAGATCATTCCAAAATATGGGAATCAAAAACACTCGCAAATGATTAGATCCTCTTAGAAAAGGGTTTTAAACCCTGGGTGGCTCCTCCTCGCTCCCTCCCTTCCCTCCCCTCACCCTGACCATTTCCCCCCTCCTCGCTCCCTCCCTTCCCTCCCCTCACCCTGACCATTTCCCCCCTGCTCGGGTCATGACCCAACTGTGCAGCGCCTTGGGACGTCCTCCTGACGTGAAAGGCGCTTTATAAATGGAATCTTGTTGTTGTTGTTGTTGTAAGCAGGTCACCATTCAACATAGGCCTGCACTAACAGACAAGAATATTTACAAAAACATTTCAGGAAAACTAAGACACAGAGTATGTTACACATACAGTATTGCACCATAATAGAGATTGACATTTATGACCAATTAAAATTCGGAATGACATAATTTATGTTGTTATCCCAAGTGCACAGCATTAATTATATTAATTCATTATAAACCCTCAGACAGCGCAACAAAATTTATGGATAGGGATGAAAAAAAAATGTTTTATGTACAAATGGTGAAAAGGAGCACAGACCTTGAAACGGGAAGAAAAATATGCAAGGGCCCACATTCACTAAAACATAAAAAGAAGACAAGGAGATTTAGCATCACATCTAGTCTCAGCTACACGCTATGCTCTCCAAATTTTGCTCTGTTTCTGCTGCCATTGCTGCTGCCTGCAACTGCTCGGTCTCACTAGTGATGACATTTGTCGGCACTTGTTTGCGATCACTGTGCATGTTATTTTCGTGCCTCTTTAGATCCGAGGCTTTGGCAAAGGCTTTAGTACAGGAGCTACAAACAAAGGGCTTCTCCCCTCTGTGTCTCCGCTCGTGATCCTTCAGGTGCGACTTGTGCTTGAACGCTTTGTCGCACATGTGGCACGCAAAAGGTCTTTCATTGCTGTGGACCCTCTCGTGCTTTTTCAGGTCGGGGGCTCGGATGAAAGATTTTCCGCAGACTTCACATCCGTAAGGTTTGAACCCCGTGTGGATTTTGAGGTGTTCCTTTAGGTGAGCTTGAGTGGTGAAGGCCTTGGAGCAGATGTCACACACGAAGGGTCGATCGGCCGAGTGCAGCTTCTCGTGTTTCCTCAGGCGCATTTCATCAGTGAACGTCTTGCCACAGTTCTGGCAGCTGAATTGTTCCCTGTCGCCGTACAGCAAATACTCAAACTTAACATCGGTGCTGGCAGTCCAGCCTGGCGGCTGTTCTTCCTTGACTCCACTCATGCTGTCGGTGAAAGCCAGGGAGGGAGGGGGCTGGGGAGTCACGTCCTTTGGTTCAGTGGTCTCCATGGCTTCCACCTCTGTACCAAAGCAATTGACTTTACGAACTTCTTCGCTCCCAAGTTCCTTCAAAATTGCCTCCTGAACCCGCAAGCCATTTGCTTGCGACTTCCCATCATCCGGGTTAGGCACAGCCTCCTCCACAGCGTCGTCTGGCTGTTCGTCCAGTTGATCAGTAATCTCATCTATTTCCTCATCAGCACTATTCGTCGGCCGATGAATTTTAGCAGTAATACTGTAGGGGTATCGGACTTTGCGACGGGCTGCGTTCTGCTGAGGGGATAAGTCACGTTTCTGAGTGCACAGTTTATCCAAGAACTGTATTCCAAGGATCTGCCCCGAAGACATCATCAGGTTCACATCTTCTCTCTTCACAGAGATTTGGGAAGTGTACATGTAATTCAGCACTTCTTCAAATATATCCGAGCGCAAAAAGTCGATCTCGATCACTGAAGAGCTGTCCACTTCTAATTTTTTAAACAGCTTTTTGAAGTAGGTGCTGCAAGCAGCCAAGATGCACCTGTGAGCTCGGAACCTAACATCTTCCACCACAATAGCTATGTCGCAGAACTCCCCCTCCAGACGCTGTTCGTTCAAGGTCTTCAGAAAAGCGTTTTTGTGCTCCTCGTCATTGTACTTCACCACCTCACTCATCGTGTTCTGTCAGCAACTGGGGACAAGACAAGACATTTTAAAATCATAGTAATAATCCTTATATTTGGTATAGCGCCTTTCACATCAGGAGAACTTCCCAGGAATATATTGTAAAGAGGAGTGACTGTATGTTTTGTGCGCTTAGAAAGAGAACGGAGCAATGTCAGTTTAGGCAAACAGCCGACATTTGGAATGAGACACCAGAACAGTGTAATCGTCAAACGGAGCCACGCTGCAATAATCATGCAGAGGGCTCAACAAGGAAAGAAACTTTTAATGACAGTTATGGTGCTCACTTTCTTAAATTGAGGCAAACGTTTCACCCTAAAAGATCCAATGTGGTTTTTGGTCAGCCAGGTGTGCAATACGTGTAGAAATTTGGCAAACCAGACTGAGAGTTTCACATACGTACGCCACCTACACGTGGATATTTCCGTGTCTCTGGAATAGAATGCTCTCTCTCTCTCTCTCTCAGGATGAAGCCTACTTACCTAATTCCAAAGAGTCTTAGGCAAAAGCTAAGGTATTGGGAACCCAGAGTGTACTTTGGGCTACCTCTGGAGCTTAATAATAATCATCATAATAATCCTTGCATCTTTATGTCAGGCGGACTCTCAAGAACTTCACAGGATATACTGTAAAGTGTAGTGTGTGTGTTTTGTGGGTGAATGATGCAGCCAATTTGTGCACAGCCAACAGCAGCAAAAATTATATTTATAGAGCGCCTTTCACATTGGGAGGACGTCCCAAAGCGCTGAACATGATATTAAAGACTTATTTTATTTGGCGTAGAGCAAATACAAAACAATGACGGGACCCTCAGAGACGCTGGTGCATCCAACTCTAGATGTCCATTGGCCAGGACATCTGGAGAAACTCCCTTCCCTTTTTGAATAACCAGATTAGAATAGGAAACGGGCACAAATAATAAAAGAAGATCCCACATTATGCCATCCAGCTTCAGTCTGGGTTCCACATTCCTGTACTCTAGACTAAAGCATTCTGCAGCAAATACTTCTCCCAGAATTGTTTTAGGTGTGAGTTACCTATCTCACTTGCTACATTTCTACATCGATCTCTTTACACGTCGACAATAAACTACAAATGGAGCACAATGCTTTTGCTTATTATACCTGGATTACATCCAATATATAACATTTCAATATTGAAATGGAACTTAGCAAATACACAGTGAACAACAAATTCTTCGAGGAGTCCTGTAGCTCAGTGGTTAGAGCACTCGCTTTGCAAGTGAGAGACCTGAGTTCAATTCCAGGCAGAGGGTGAAACCTTGGGCAAGTTTCCTTAGATGGGATACAATATTTCAGACTCTTCACATCTTCACCTCCTTGAACAGATATGGAAACAATAAATGTATCAAAAGCTGCACATAGTTGACAGGGAGCCTGAGAGAGGGGAAATCTAGTGATATACAAGCTATCTGTTCTTTTGCAGCTTCATAAGTAGAGATCATTAAATAACAAAACTTACATTGTATAGTGCCTTCCCCGTCAAGAGGACATCCCAAGGCGCTGGACAATCAGTGTTTCAGACTGAAACAATAGTTTATGGCAGCTGCTCATGACATTTTATCATAATATATCATTAATCTAATATGTATTTAATTTGTACTGTAAATCCTGGTGTCTGGCTGTCTCGTTCACCCACAAATAATTACTCCACTTCACAATAAATCATATGAAGTGCTTTGGGGCATCATCCTGACGTGAAAAGCATGTATCAAATGCAAGAAATATTATTTTTATTATTATTAAATCACACTATTGTGGATTTCCAATAAATCTTCATTTTGGTGTATTAACTAACAATCATTTTTAAGTTGATGAATCATATTCATCCTGCTGAATGTTTACACTCTTTAGATATCACGTCCAATTGCTGAAAGAATGTGCAGGGGTTTCATTTTATGGGCCACTAGCACCAGTATTGGGGGAAGAGGGAGCTATTCAAAACTAAAAACAATAATAAATTGGTCATTTTCAATCTACGACTGTTTGTGGGACATTGCTGTGCGCAATTGGCTGCCGCGTTTGCCCACAAATATACAGTCAATTCACTTTACAGTGTATTCTGTGAAGCGCTTTGGGACGTCCTCCCGACGTGAAAAGCGCTATATCAAATGCAAGGATTATTTTATTATTATTATTCCATAGAGATGGGCTCCACCTAAACCGGACTGGGACCAATGTCCTGGCAAAACGAATAAATAGGGAGGAAGGCAGAGCTTTGAACAACTAAGGGGTGGGGGGGGGGGGGGGGAAGCTACGGCTACAGTTAGTAGCAAACCAGCTGAAACTAAGAAAAATGAAAGTGGTAGAGGAGATTAGCGAGGGAGATAAACAGTGTGTCTGTGAGGGACAAGAAGCTCAGAAAAGAAAATAGGGCATTAGCGAGTAGGGGAAATAGCAAGAAGTCAAAATTAAAGGCGCTATATCTGAATGCACGAAGCTTTCATAATAAGATAGATAAATTAATGGCACAAATAGAAACAAATGGGTATGATCTAATAGCCATTACTGAGACATAGTTACAGGGGGATCATGGGTGGGAGCTAAATATTCCAGGATATTCAGCATATAGAAAACATAGACAACATGGAAAACTAGGCTAATAAAGGATGGGATAAAAACAGTAGAGAGGAAGGATTTTAAATCAGAAAATCAGGATGTAGAGGCAGTATGGGTGGAATTACGAAATAACAAGGGGCAGAAAACACTAGTGGGAGTAGTTTATAGACCCCCGAACAGCAGTCATAGTATTGCACAGTATTAACCAGGAAATCAGAGAAGCATGTAGCAAAGGAAATACACTAATAGTGGATGATTTTAATCTTCATATAGATTGGGAAAACCAAATTGGCAAAATTGTATAGAATACATTAGAGACAGTTTCTAGATCAGTATGCTGAGGAACCAACCAGGGAACAGGCGATCCTATATCCTGTTTTATGTAATGAAATAGGGCTAATCAGCAATCTGGAAGTTAAGGCTCCTCTAGGGCAGAGTGACCATAACATGATGGAATTTAGCATTACGTTAGAGAGTGATGTAGTTAAGTCCAAAGCAAGAGTCTTAAACTTAAATAGAGCCAACTTTGCAGGTATGAGAGAAGATTTAGCTAAAATAGACTGGGGAATTAGATTAAAGGATATGACAGTAGACCAGCAATGGCAAACCTTTAAAGATATAGTACATAATTCCCAGCGATCACATATTCCCTTGAGGAATAAAAATACCACGGGAAAAGTGGTTCAACCATGGCTAACTAGAACAGTTAGGGAAAGTATAAAATTAAAAGAAGAGACCTATAATACTGCCAAAAAGAGCAGTAATCCCAAGGATTGGGAGGGCTTCAGAGACCAACAAAGAAAGCCAACAACAAAATTACATTTATAGATCGTCTTTCACGTCGAGAGGACATCCCAAAGTGCTGAGACTAAGACTAAGAAACTGATTAGGAGGGAGAAAATGGATTATGAGGGCAAACTAGCTAGGAACATAAAAACAGACTGCAAGAGGAAGAGACTAACAAAAGTGAATGTGGGTCCAATACAGGCAGAGACAAGAGGAATTATAATGGGGGATAAAGATATGGCAGAGTCGTTAAACAGATACTTTGCTTCTGTCTTCACGTTAGAAGACACTGAAAACTTACCAAAAATAGAGGGGAACCAAGAAGCTAATGTTAGTGAGCAACTTAGAGAAATTAACATCAGTAAAGAATTAGTACAAGGGAAACTGTTGGGATTGAAAAATGACAAATCCCCTGGACCTGATGGCCTGCATCCTAGGGTTTTAAAAGAGGTGGCTGCTGAGATAGTGGAGACCTTGTTTTTGATCTTCCAAAATTCTCTGGATTCTAGAACGGTTCCCATTGATTGTAAGATTACAAACGTAACATCACTATTTAAGAAGGGTGGGACTGAGAAGATGGTAACTATAGACCAGTTTGACATCGGTGGTAGGGAAAATTCCAGAATCCTTAATAGGGACGTTGTAGTGGGGGTACTTAGAGGACCGTAACATGATTAGGCAGAGTCAACATGGCTTTACAAAAGGGAAGTCATGCTTAACAAATCTTTTACACACTGTAAAGTGAATATACAGTCAATTCACTTTACAGTGTGTTCTGTGAAGCGCTTTGGGACGTCCTCCCAACGTGAAAAGCGCTATATCAAATGCAAGGATTATTATTTACAGCTTTTTGAGGATGTAACTAGATAGGGGGGAACCAGTAGATGTAGTATATTTAGATTTTCAGAAGGCATTCGACAAGGTGTCACATAAAAGGCTGCTACACAAGATTAGGGCACATGGAATTAAAGGCAATATATTAGCATGGATCGAAGAGTGGCTAATGGGAAGAAAACAGAGAGTAGGGATAAACGGGTCCTTCTCAGATTGGCGGGATGTGACTAGTGGAGTGCCACAAGGATCATTGCTTGGGACTCAACTATTTACAATCTATATCAATGATCTAGATGAGGACATAGATCTTAAAATATCTAAATTCGTGGATGATACTAAGCTAGGTGGGAAGTAAGCTCCAAGGATGTCACAAAAAGATTGCAAAGGGATATAGATAGGCTAGGTGAGTGGGCAAGAAGATGGCAGATGGAATATAATGTGGGGAAGTGTGAAGTTATTCATCACCTAGGTAGTAAAAACAGAAAAGCAGATTATTTTCTAGAAGGGGAGAGACTAGATAGCGTTAGTGTTCAGAGGGATTTGGGTGTCCTTGTACACCAGTCACAAAAAGTTAGTGTGCAGGTACAGCAAGCAACTAGGAAGACTAATGGCATGTTGGCGTTTATTGCAAAATTAGAATATAAGAGTAGGAAAGTCTTACTGAAATTGTATAGGGCCTTGGTGAGACCACACCTAGAATATTGTGTGCAGTTTTGGTCTCCTTATTTAAGAAAGGACATACTCACCTTAGAGGGGGTGCAGCGTAGATTCACAAGGTTAGTTCCTAGGATGAAGCGGTTGACCTATGCGGATATGTTGAGTAAACTAGGCCTATATTCTCTAGAATATAGAATTAGGGGTGATTTTACAGAAACATATAAGATTCTTATGGGGCTTGACAGAGTAGACAGTGCAAGACTATTTCCCTGGTTGGAGAATCTAGAACTAGGGATCACAGTCTTAAGATTAAGGGACAGCCCTTTCGAACAGAGTTGAGGAAACACTTCTTCACTCAGAGGATAGTGAATTTATGGAATTCTCTACCCCAGAAGGCTATAGATGCTCAGTCCTTGAACATATTCAAGACTGAGATTGATAGATTTCTAAAGGATAGAGGGATTAAGGGATATGGGGATAAGGCGGGCAGATGGAGTTAGGTTAGATCAGCCATGATCTTATTGAATGGCGGGGGAAGGCTCGAGGGGCCAAATGGCCTACTTCTGCTCCTAATTCCTATGTTCCTATGCCTTGAATCTCACCAAGAGTTATAATTAGACAATAGAGGTGGTAAGCAGGACAGGATGTTCTCGTTCTTATTCTTAGACCAGTGATGTACTATAAAAACAGTGACATTTGCTAAATATTAATTTGAAAAATATTTTGTTCCCAGTTATACTCTGAACATTTGAATGGGCTGTAAATACATTTGAGAGGCAAATTCTTGTGTGACAGATGATATATTTCTGTACATTATCTTCTATACTAATAAAACAATGTCTGTCTGTGCTTCAAGAAGGATCTCAATAAGTGATTGACGTAGAGACACGATTTATAACTCATCTGAAAGATCTTGCAACTGGGAGTGACATGATCATATTTGTTTTCGGGTATCTCCTATCGTTCATGAGTTATTTTCAGTTTTGCATTTTGCGCTGTGGCATTGTGTGGACTACGTATGTTCACAGTTACATCTGGTGGCTGCGCCGACTGACTGTGGCGCTGTGCTATCCTGCGTCACAGAGTGCGTACGTAGCCAAGTAGTGGGAACAACATAAAGAACACAGATGAAGCTAAGTCGGGGCATCAACAACAAAATTGTATTTTTAAAGCACTGAGTCTCCCAAAAGGAGTCCTCCCAGATGAGTATAAAGATGAAATGTCTGTCTGTGCGTCAATCTACATTCCATATTGCATCCTTTGGTTGCAAGCGAAGCTGCAATGGGTACAGATAATAATTCAATAACTCTTTTGAAGAAGTTTTATCAAACAGCTGGAAAAAGGAGGATTCATGTTCAAAAAGGCAGAACAGTTTCATACGCTAAAGGATATTGCTACTGAGTACGACTATGTACTAAGAATCATATTAATGAATGTCATGTTGCTCAATATAATAAAATGTTGTCCAATATAAATGAATGTGAGCATACCATGTATTTAGAACATTCTTTGAAGTGTAAATTTTTACATTTAGTACACTGAATGTTTAAATTATTAATAATCCTTGCCTTATCGCATCATTGAAACATCTCAAGGCAGTTCACAGAATTTTACAGTAAAGTGTAGTGACTTCAGTTTAACTTCTCATCTGAAGGTCGGCACCTCCAACAATTCAGCACTCCTCAGCACTGGAACGTCAGCCTAAACAATGAGTTCAAAGTCCTGATGTGGGGCTTGAACTCACCACCTTTAGACTCGGAGGTGCGATGCAGCCAACTGAGCTAGGCTAACAACTAAACTGTGGATGGACACATACAGAACAAAATCTGTATGCACTGCTCAAAGGGGTATACGTTATAATTGAAATGAGCGCTTTCATGGTAAATGCAAGTGTTGTTTCGGAGAGTTCATATCATTGATCGCTTATTAAACAGAATATGACATAGTCAAGTATTTATGCCTTTACCACTTTTATTTCACCATGAAGAAACATACATTCAACATTTAATACATTGCAGCAGAACATCTGATGAAGACTGTACCCTACAATTAGCTGTACGAACTTTGTAAATCATAAACGCTTCATAATTTCAAAGCTTCCAATGGAGAGTTGCTGTTAGTTTATGTTCAGTTTAAGGCTTTGCTCTGAATCTGGAGTCTAAGCAGAGTATTTGGGAAGAATCAATGCTGTCATTGTCAGTGATGAAAAATAGAGGTCGCAGGTAGTAAGTGGGGAGAATCCTTCTCGAGAAGTCACATTCACAAGCAACAGAAAATGAGCAAAATCGGCTCGGTTTGAAAAAAATATACTGACACCTCTTCTATGGGAAAGTCAACATCCACAAGTAATCGTGAGCTAGTCTACCTGGACTTCTGGTTCTAACATAAAAGAATGTGCTCATCTAACAAAACCAGTCCTTCAAGTAAAATATATATATATATATATATTTTGTTTTAAAAAAAATGTTAGGTGACATCAAATTATGCTGACAACACACAAAACGCAGCAAAACAATTCCTTCTAAAATGGTTAAGGTTATTCATGTTTTTCACAGGCATTGCCATTGAATATCAAGGTTTCCAGTTATAAGCTTCAAGTTGCTTTGTATTATAATAGATATGGGCTTATACTGTTATTGGCACATCTACTGTAAGTTATGACATATCCCTCATGTTACAATTACGCTTTTTTTCTCACCAACCTTGGAGTGATAGTTACTCACTTCTAAACCAAAAACTATCAAAATGAACGACAACCAACTCATTCCTCTTTCTATCTTGCTCAGCTTTTTTTTAAATTACATACTGTCAAAGGCTGGATTATTCCCTCCAATTCTTTAAATAATTTTTTGTACCAGTGATCTTTTATTCTTTGCGTGCAGATAAAACAATAACCTAAATGACGTGAAAGATTCTACTGTGGATTTGGAAAATGCGGGGGTTCATTTTTGTGATAAGTTTATTCTAGTCATGCAATATTCATCTGCTGCTCATATGTATATTCTGGAATGGAAAGGCTTATGCCAATGTCCTTATTTAGTGAGGGCGAAATGTGGTCCTCGTATCAACGTGCTCCAGTATGATGTGAAAGGTCATTAGTGGATGTATTCAGACAAACAAAGTCATGTGCATGACTCCATTTAGACTCCAAAATCATTCCTAATGATGTGTATGTGTTACTTCTTTTGTGAAGATGTGGTTAATCCTAGGAACAGAGAAGAAAAATCAAATGAGAAAACCATTAGTCATTCAGGTTAATGTGTCTCATTACCAGCGGTGCTGTGGACACAGTGTTAAAATGCATCTAGTGCACATTTTTGCATTGATTTTTTTCCATCCAATCAGCAGATAGACAAAATATAGCACTGACTTGTTGGATTTACAACTTCAGTAGAACAGAATAAAGTACATTATAACAAACATGTGATCAAAAAGAGAAACAATAAATTGTACATTTCCTACACGCATCCATAGCAGCAAAATGCAGTGTTTCCAATGGCAGCATTGTCAGGCAGCCAGAAAAAAAATCAAAGCCAAAAAAGCAAGAAGTTGCAATTTATCTTTAAAATGGAGCTGAACATTAGATTATTTCTGTGCAATGATGGTATCTTCCATTATTATTTATAACGCAATCCAATATATTGCATTGCTCATTTAATGAATTTGGAGGTGAATGGTTTGGGATGTTTTGGACACTTAAAACTTTCTTTTTGTGATTATTAAAAAACGAACAACAGGCTATTCCAGGCAAGTCATTTTCTGCACAGTGCAGCCAATTCATTGTGTGCTAACCTGATATCAGAGACAATACTGATGCACAGAACAATCCTTCACTAAAGTTAAAAATTGATAGCTAGATTTTTTTTGAATTGGATATAAAAATATTGTTGGAATCCTCATGAGGATCGACACATAGAACAAGTGACCTTGAATCTATTTTGAATTTAGGTGAATCAGACATGTGGGTTTTCAGAGCAGCATTAAGTATTGTGTAAAAGAACTTAAGTGAAAAGTGTATACAATTACCATACCTCAAATAGAATACATCAATGAGAGCTAACCACTGATTTCTCGGTGTGTTTCCCAAGTACAAATGTAACCAAAGAACATGGGAGTAACACTGAGAAACTAATATCTCTCCAGTAAGGTTTACTTGTGTTCCCAGACAAAAAAAGAAAAGGTTTCAACAAACATGAAATGATTTAGCACATGCAGAAGCACAACAGGAGAAGACAAGACATGGATGAAATTATGGAGGATATGGGAAATAGTCTTTCTTCAAACAACCAGAAGCAGGCACACCGTCACTCTCTAACCCATAGTCATCTCTTGCATAAATATAAAGTGGAGTATGTCAATCCATACCTGCATCAAGTAATATGCTTATCATACACCTACAGGAAAGTTATTTTAATTGTAGAAAATTCCACCATTCCAGATCACTTTCTCTCCTGAACCCTTCAAAATACACAGGTCTATGAAGCGCTCTGAGCCATCCCCCCGACGTGAAAGTCTTTATAGCAAATGTAAGGATTATTATTATTATCCTCCTCAAGTCCACAAAATGGGACAGTATTAGCTACAAATGATTCCATAACCACTGTCGTAGCTTTGTTTCTGTAATCTTCACCATAACACGCCAAAATACAAGCAAGTTAAAAAAAAAAATTTTTAAAAATTGTTTTCTCTGCACTTGCTGTGTTCCTTTCTTTTAAAAATGTTAACTTTAACTATCTTCTACTTTTATTTACCTAATCTATTCTTCACCGCTCCCCCTACCCATCCTTCTACCCGTAAAACTACCCTGTTACCTCTTTCTTTATTCCAGCTCCAACGTTCCATTTTGAAAGGTGGGAGCAATGTTTTAAAAATTCGTCATTGGCTGAAAACCACCTTGAAGGATCAATTCTGGTCAAAGATTGAAGATTGACAGGATGGTAAATCACTAGCCAAACGTTGTGTCCTGACATGGTGCCCTCAGGCTCAATGTTCACATAATATTAAATTAGCTAGTCTAATACTTTGAGGAAACCTTACTTCCCAAGCACCTGATGTGTTAGTAGTAGAGCATCTAAAAGCACGTTCCTTATGGGTTATAGAGGTAAAGCTGCAAATAAAACCACATGTGTGGAGAACGCTACTTTGCTGCATACCAATTTGTAAATGCCAGGCTGATGCTTTTGTTCTTACCTGCGATCAATCATCCCCGTCCTCTGGCGTGATCTCTGTCTCTTTGTGTACCACTACTTTGGTCACAGACATATCAGGGTGCTGCTCTTTGGCCTCTTTAATTGCCTGAGCCAGGGCCTAACCCAAAGAAAGCCCCCGAGGTATAAAAACAGTAGGTGGGACATGCATGATCAGAAGCAGGATGGAGAATTATGATGAGTTTTTCATCAATTACTTTCTTGGTGGAAATGATTAAAAGAAAAATTTTAAAATCTCTACTTAAAGGAGTGGTATGTCATTCATTTTTATGTTACATCATTGATGGCTTATTTCTTTAACCTTACTCTCGTTCCTCTGTTAGGGCCCAGATTTAATACTTGGGGTAGCGGACACTGAAAGAGCCAGTTCCACCTGCTTCTGTGCTGACCAGGGTACTATGGCCAACAACAGTGAGTTTATGGCTTGTGTTGCTTGCGCAATTTTAATTTTAAATTAAATTGTATTTTAAAATGTTTATTTATCTAATCTATTCTTCACAACAATATTGTTGCTAAATATTGCTAAATCATTTCATGCTTGTTGAAATTTAAATTTAAATTCTGGGAGCGGTGTTCAGACTGCGAGATCTCGATCTTCTTGAATCACCAATGAGAATAGATGCAAGTCCAGCAGGGCTCATGAGCAGTTCCAACACCAACATAGAACACCTTAATGGAACTGTGATTTTTTTTCATTAAAAAAGTTTGCAACTAGTCCTTTCTGTTGTACACTGTTCGCTGTAGAGTCCTTCCATCAGCAATCCTACCATACAGTAATGCCACAAAATGCCATACGACTCCTTTAACTTGAAAACACAATCACTGAATTCATTATAAAAGCATGCAGATTTAAACTTGCTTACTTTAGTAGTTTCTGAACATACTAGTTTTTTTAATATAAAAATGCAATTCACTTGCAATATTACTTAGAAACCCATCTGATGCAATAGCATCAACAATAAAGTGCCACCGTACCTGATCATGGTCAATATCAGCATCCCCAGTAATGACGATTCGTTTCTCAATGCGTGTCTCTGAAACACCCCCTTTCACAGTCTGCAAACATGAAGTTGAGGATGGTTAATTGCTTATAATTTCTATAAAAAAATCAGAAATTGGTGTTCTGCCAGTTCTGATGAAAGGTCATCGACCTGAAACATTAACTCATTTTCCTCTCTCCATGGATGCTGCCTGACCTGCTGCATGTTCCCAGCGACTTCTGTGTTCGTACGGAAAATTGGTGTTGATGGCTCAGCGAGCTAACCTTGTAAGTATTTGAGTCAGCAAATATGGACAATAATAATCCTTGCATTTGATATAGCGCCTCATCAGGTCATTGAGACGTCTCCAAATGCTTCACAGGATTTATAAAATAATGCGTAATGACTATTTGTGGGCAAACACAGCAGCGAATTTTCACGCAGCGACATCCCACAAACAGCCACAAAATGGATGATGGTTTATATTTAGGGAATGTTGGCCAGGGCACCGGGTGAAATACCCTTCTCTTTTCAAACTGTGCCATGGAATCCACCTTAACAGGAAGACGGGACCTCAGTTTAACATCTCATCCAAAGGATGGCACCTCCGACAATAGAACACCCTCCCCAGTGCTGCATTGGAGTATCAGCTTAGCCAATTTGAATTCCAGTCCCTACGTGGGACAAACATTTGATGGCTGGTTTTGATCCCTAGCTTGTGCTGGTTAGCTAATGTCAGATAGGTCAAAATACCACCGACTCCAGTATCGTCAGAGAGAGGAAAATCCAGAGGTACTGCTCCCTATTGCTCTCCCTCTCTCTGCTGAAGGGATGCTCGAGTCAAGATTGGATTGTTCTATACCCTTTAAGAACCAATTAACTGGGAACCAATGTAAGGGGATCAGGAAGTATAAAGTAGGATGCAGGGGAACTAGCTGAAGGGGTTTTGTTTGTATTATTTGATTGTGTTTTGAGAGCTGAGAATAAAATAGTAATTTTATTTGTTCTAGAATAGAATAGAACAAATAAGATCAAGGCAATAAAAAATAATTCTGAGGTGGAATTCTGAGGTGGAATCCGGAGTGATTAATGAGTATAATATTGATGCAATAAACATCATTAAAAGAGTGCATACAGAAAAAGAAAGTGGATGATATCGCTATGGTGCATAGAAGAAAGAAAATGGTTAAGGTGCAAATTAGATACAGGAGCTCAGGCCAGTGTGATGCTAGTGCAAGATCTCATTGAAATGAGGTTGCTCAAAAGAATTTGGAGTGAAGATAGAAGACCACAAAACCACTTACCGGAGTATCCCCCAAGCAATTGTAGGGTGGAGCAGGAACGACAGACTAAAAAAAAATTTGGAAGATGACAGACAACACAAAGGTAGATAAGCACCTGGCAATTCTGGCCTATAGAAACAGGCAAAAAGACAATGAGGGACAATCGCAAATACTGATGACAAGATGGTTAAGAGATTTGTTATTCTCGGAAGAAAAAAAATTGAGACCGGAGGTAAAACACAAGAAAAATGGAGAAATCCAAAATTGAACCAGGAAAGGAGAAAACTTTTATAAAAGGAAGAGGATATGGTTTAGGAAGAAAAACCTAACAACAGAAGGTTGAACGAAAGGAGAAATTTGTGAGAAGGATAAAACCCCAAGATCATATTTGACTTAAAAATGATAAAGGAAAAATATATGGAAGAACGTCATGGGAAATACGCCAAAGAAGGAAGAAGGACAGAGGAAGAAAAAGAAGAGCAGAAGGAAGATCTGGGTTGGCAGAAACATCGAGAACCATCAGGTCAGGAAGAGTAGTAAAACAAACGCGGAGATTAATTGAACAAAAATGAGACACAGAGAGGAAAAAAAGCCCAAAAAGGGAAGATTTTGGATACCCTTTAAGAAGAAATGACCAATGAACTGGGAACTAATGAAAGGGATCAGGAAGTATAAAGCAGGATGCAGGGGAACTAACTGAAGGGGTTTTGGTTGTATTGTTGGACTGTGTTTGAGAGCTGAGAATAAAATAGTGATTTCTGCATTTGTGTTGTGAGAAGATAACATGGATGGGGACTATTTCAAGTTAGGCTGTGATGTTCCTCTGTTTCAAACAGCTTGCTGTGTCTGAATAATAACCATTTGAATAAGGTACCAAAGGGGTAAAATGTGAAACTTGTTAAGTGTTTGATTATACCTTGAGACAGAAATTGTGGCCTTTCAGTGTTAAAATGTGCCCATTGATACCACTAGGTGGCGGCAGATTCCTCTCATCTTGCCTATATCAGGTTTCGCAGAGCATAGATGCCATAAATTGTCCAAATAAATGTCAATTGTATTGTTTTGCTGCATTCATACTGCACAGTTAGCAAACAAAAATCTAATTTCTGAAACATAACCCCCATTGTCTGAAACTAGGCTGCCCTTTTTATTAATCAAATTTGATAAAATTAGATCTCGTGCTCTACCCTTTAACTAGCTTCTAAAATATTTTCAACATTTAGAGCTTTATTTACGGTTACTCGAGAACCATAAATTCTGGTTTAACCAAGTATGTGCTGTTTATATGAACAGTTACTTGAGAACCGTTCATATAATGTGGAAAAAGGTTGGTGGGATGGTAGAGGGTAAGGTGTTCAAATGAGGGGAAGGTTCCGGAGGAGTAAGGAGATAGGCCTTGATAGGCTGTTCTAATTTTGTTACTGTCTGTGCAAGGTTTTGTGCAAATAAAAGTGTTTTCTCTAATGTGGAGAAATAAATGAAAATTATTTGAGATATGTCTATATTTCCTTTATTTTTCATGATTAAGTATTTTTAGGAATAACTACCATTGAGACTGCACCAGAAACACTTGTTTGAGAACTACTGCTCTATTCTATTACACAGAATCACATAAGACTGCACAGGACCAAAACAGACCATTTGCCCAAACTAGTCTGTGACAGTGTTTATCCTCCAGATGAGCTTCCAAACCCTCCTAATCCCCTGTCTCTGTCCCTCTCACATACTCTTCTATTCCTTTCTCCTTCATGTATGCAGTTTCCAGTCTCAGGCCAGGTCAGGAGGTGCCCCATCCAGTACATGTACGGTGGGTGTGTAACACATATCTTTACATACACATTTATCACTAAAAATCTTTGTGATTGCAAAGCATTTCCTAGTACTGCTACCCCCTCCTAACAGGGAACAACTTGCATTTATATAGCGCCATTCATGTAGGATAATGGCTCAAAGCGCTTCAAAATGACGGGTTCAGACACCAGTCAAAGGAAAGGATGACGGGGGAAGGGGAAGATGATCATATTGATCGAAGAGAGGTTAACAATTGCTCCTCACCGATTGTTTGGGATAATGAACTCTACGCAGCCACTTGCCACATCACTAAACCTCCTAATAGTGGATATTAACATCCAGATCAGCGATTTGCAGATGAGATAGATGGCAAGATAGAACATTTATTCACATAAGAGCATATATAAATGTATAATGCAAATTGTTGTAATCATTTAAACCAGTTCTGTTTTATTTAAAATAGCTGCAGCATAAAGTAGGTTGAAAGTCTACATACAGGAAGTACTTTGTTTTTTCTCTTTTTCAAGCTTATAGAGCTTTGAGTGGAATTTCAGTCTGTGTGGATCACAGGTTGCACCTGTCTCCCACTATGAATATATACTCTCAAATAGTCTAATGTGAAGAGCGCTATACAAATGTAATGTGTTGTTGTAGCTCTTTCTAGTTTTCTACATTAAGTATTTTGACAGTAACTTTATTACCCAGGTAAGATTGTTTAGTTTGTTAGTATAATATAATTAGCAGACATTGGTGTGAAAATGTTCTAATTATTAATTTGAATCGATTATGAAAAGTCACCTTTTCACAGCATTCAATGTTATTTATATTTTATATATCCTTTATAAATCAATTAACAATGACAACAACTTGGATTTATATAGTGCCCTCCACGCCGGATGACGTCTCAGAGTGCTTCACAGTAACGGATCCCGGGGCTGAGCCAGGGGGAGGGGTAGGAAGGTGACCAAAGGCGCGGTCAAAGAGAAAGGTCTTCAGCAGGGACCTGAAAATAGGAAGAGAGGGAGCGAGACAAAGGGAATGAGGAACGGAGTTCCTGAGCCTTGGGGCATAGTTGCTGAGGGCATGGCCGCCGAGGGTGGAGCGGAGGACTCGGGGGACAAGGAGGAAGCCAGACCCAGAGGAACGAAGGCAATGGGTACTGTTTTGAGGAGAGAGGTCAGAGCGGTAGGGGGGTGCATAGGAGTGCAGGGACTTGAATACAAGGGTGAGGATCTTGAAGTCGATCCTTTCTGGGACAGCCAGTGCAGTCTGGCAAGGACTGGGGTGATGGGGGAGAGGAGTTTGGTGCGGGTGAGAATGTGGGCGGCAGAGTTTTGAATAATCTGGATTTTATGGATGGTAGTGGAGGGGAGACCGGTGAGGAAGGAATTAGAGTAGTCCAGCCGAGAGGTGACAAAGGCATGGACCAGGGTTTCAGCGGCTTTTGGAAAGAGGTATTGACGGAGATGGGCGATGCGTCGGAAGTGGAAGAAGGCGGTACTAGTGAGGGACCGGATGTGGGGGAGGAAGGATAATTGGTGGTCGAACCTGACGCCTAGGTTGCGTACGGGTTCGGAGAATTTTAGGGGGAGGTTGGGTAGGTGGAGGAGGTGAGAGCCGTGAGATTTTAGACGTTGACGAGAGCCAAAGAGTATGGCTTCTGTCTTATCAACATTCAACTGAAGGATGTTTGCGCTCATCCAGCCCCTGAGATCTGACAGGCAGGCTGACAGAACATCAGGGGACTGGGGGTTGCAAAGAGAGGTGGAAAAATAGTTGGGTGTCGTCTGCATACATGTGGAAATGTACCCCATATCTGCAGATGACATCCCCAAGAGGGAGCATGTAGATCAGAAAGAGGAGGGGGCCAAGGATGGATCCTTGGGGTGAGAGCGGGAGTAGAAGCCGTTTGTGCAGATGTACTGCTGGCGGTTTGTGAGGTAGGAATTAAACTGAACAAATGAAGCAATACCAAATCTCCAGCTCCTTAACGATGATAAATCAACAACAGATCATCCCGATTGATGGGATACAATATTTCAGACTCTT